TGGTATGGGCTGTGATTGTACCCTCAGGTCCCTCATATGATTGAAGCTGATGTCATCATGAGAGATTATGATCCCATGGAGCCAATCATGGCTCACCCCCCTGACACAGATAGTGACATCACACTGAAAGAGTGGCTAGAGAAAGTGAAGATAAACAGCAAAGGAATAAAACTGGACTTTAAGAGGTGAGAGCTGTTTTCCTTGGATTCTCCTCAATATTGTGCATGTGTATGTGTGTGATGCTAATCCTGACGGCTGCCTCCATCCAGCTTGGAGGCTGTGTCTCCATCCCTGACTCTACTGGAGGACCTGTTGACTGAGCCAGACCGTCCACTGTGGATCAATGCAGACGTCCTCAGTGGACCCAGTGGACGAACCGCACCTTTGGACTTCCAGGCTTTCCTCTCTCTTGTTTCAGGTCTTCCTGCTCAGACTGTGCTGTCTCTTGGCTGGACAACAGGATGGACTGTGGGAACTAATAACCCAGGTGTGTGCGTCTCTGTCTGTTTACATGGAAACTAAAAGAAAGGTCATTCTAATCATGCAATACAATATTTCTGGAGCAGTTTGAAAATAGAAATCATGTCAGGTATGGCAGGTAAAGGGTTATCAAAGGTCAAATATGACTCTGTTCAGCTGTTACCTAAGAGAAGGTGAAAACAGTTTTCTATTGTCCTGAGTTTGGTGTTCTGGTGGACTTTCTTTATTATAGATAGAAACTGTAAGGTAAATGAACAGTGTCGATGTGAAGGGAATAAAGACGTTACTATAAGGGAAAATGAAGGCCGTCATGGTGAACTTTAAACGAGTGCTACCAAGAAGCATCATCAAACTGTAGCAAAACGTAAAAGGTTTTCGTCGCTATATCTTGATAATTATCTAGTCATTGTGGCTACAGAATGATGCAGATAAACATACTTATTCTAAAAATGTAATTGTATGGCTTCTGGATTTTAAACTGGACCCAACTGGGTTTTGTTAAGATGATCTAAACGGTATTAAAATTCTGATTTTTTTTTTATCATGAATTTTGTGTAATGAAGTTATCACAACCTGTGATTTAAATGAATTGCATATATTTTAATACAGTACAGATTTTTTTGGAGATTATAAAACAAAACAGTGAAAGCTCATGAACCTTAATCCAGGAAATTGAAGGAGGTTTGAAACGGAAGTATGATGGGTACACTGTGGTCAGGAAGTAAAGGTTGAGATGAGTTTAGACACTTTTTTACTAACAGAAACTAAATAGAAACTTTATTTAAAGCAAATCTACATGGAGGAGATTTTTGAGCTGATATCAGATACCACAGTGTTTATTGTCCCATTGTACAGACAGTTTAAGGCCTGTACTGGTTCCTGATCAAAATTTGGATTTAATTGTGTGATTTTGTTCATTATTCCAAAATGTTTCCATCGTTTTATGACTCTGGCAGACTCTATTTCCTCTCTCTTGAAGGAAGAGATTTGGTCAACATTTAACATGGAAAGAATGAGAATTACAAACTGCAGGCCATGTTGATGTAATTACAGCTTAGTTAAGTAGAAAATCCATTGAATTGTTGTGGTGTTAGTGTGCTTAACATTAATTGTGGCTTTGATTAGATGTTAGAAAAACAATAAGCCCAGAAGGTGTTGTTTGTGCTGGGCTTGCCCAGGTTACAGCTGGGACATGGTGCATGCCATGGAGGAGAAGAGCAGAGATCTGAAACATCCTGTCACCTTCCCGGTTCGTGCTGCGCTGCTGGCTCAGTCCTTCTCCCAGCTATCATGGCTGCTGCAACAGTCAGACAGGTGACTACACACACACACACACACATGCACACGGACACGCACAAGCTGGTGGTTAGTCCAGCCGGTACATAAGTCACTGTCTGCCTGAAAGCAGAGGCTGGAGTTCTGCTCTGAGGAGTTGGAGGAAAAGGGGCTGAAGTTCATCTGACAAACTTTTCTAAACATCATCATCCTTTGCATCAGAAACCCTGCCAGCTACTCTTCACCTGATGTTGCTAAGACCTGTCTTTCCTGCACAGGTACACGCTTACAGTGTGGACAGGCCAACATGATGAATTTGCTCCTCAGGACTTAAAGCTTTACAGAAAACATTTTGATGTGAGCAGAATCTATTATGACCTGCCGAACTCTCAAACAGCAGAACTCTTGGTGATGTCATGACTGAAGACGACCAACTGCCGTTTCCTAAACCTCACAACAGACTGCCTGCTGCTCAGTACAGATTGGGAGAGGGAAGATAAATTTGTCTTTGCTCACATTATATGAAATAAAAATTACAGATGTCACTGTAGTTTTGAAGGGCAATCTACAAAAGAAGCATTATTAAACTCGTTACACAAGGAGCTGTCGGCCACAATGTAATCCCTTTTTGCTCTGGAAAAGGTAATCCACCTAAACTGGATGCTTTTCATTCAAACTTTAAAATGAAACAAAGTTTCCTGGAGCACAAAGGAAGAACTATTGCTGCTTATACTGGCTGCATTCCTATAACTGACATGAAGATGCTCCTCTTATTCTAAGCATAAGTTTTTCCTAAGCACTAACTCGCCCACTACATCTGCTGAGTAATTTGGGGTTTTTTTGTTCTGAGTTGGGAAAAATTCACATTACATTTAATGTTGTGTCATGTTTCATCATATAATGTACTTTGAAATTCCTTGTTGCTGAAACGTACTGTACAAATAAATGTTACTGATATGGATGACATCTGTAAAACTGTTTATCCTAAACTTTTTTTATTCTTGTGAATAAAACTTTTTTGAATAGTTGCAGTTCTCCATTTCTCTACTGAACAAAACCTTCTCAGAGTGAGTCTGGCTGCCAGAAAAAATAAAAAATAATATTTTGAACATCCAGCTCATAGTGAGATCAAAACATTTATTTATATGTTCTTATCCAATCTTTTTTTGGCAAATAAAAAGCTTACAAGATCCAGAAAGTGTATTATAGCTCACTAATTTCAGTAAAACAATGCCATGAAGAACATATGTTTCATTAATTCCAGACTAGTAGAAATGTTTTGGAATGAACCTTGCAGGTCTGACATTCATGTTGGTGTCGTTGCTGGTAAAGCTATGCTTAACATGTCACTAGAGATAATACAGTTTCTTATTTCTGCAGTTTATGTTTTGACTTGTAATCTTTAACACGACAGAAGCTTTTGAGGTTTGCTTTCAATGAACTACTTTGTGTTACTGATTTTTTTTTTTTTTATTAGACTGTAGTTTATTTGGATACCAGATTATTTTCACCTAGTGTGCATGACAATGATGAACAAATTAAACCATGCAATGCTTGTAACATGTGGGAATAAAACATAAGAACCAAACATATTTTAGAAAAAAAGTCCGGATGCAGGGCCACAATTTTCTCTCCATTTTTCACAGTTTGTTTAACTGGACTCAGAAATACAGACTCAATGTGTGAAGCCTGCACTGCTATTTTACAGTGCAGGCTAAATATCAAAAAGCTAATTTAATCACTTGACTTTGACTTTTATTTAACTGGAATAGTGGCATATGCAGTGTTGTAAATACATGCATTTACTCCTGACAGGTACAACAGTTTTCAGTTTCCAAGAGTTTCCTTAAAGCTAACAAGCTGTTTCATTTGTTCACTTTGCATTGAGTGGCGTCTCCACAACATTTTTTTAATTTTTAGTTCCTGAGGACAAGCGGCGACACTGGGCAAAACAGATTTTTGCCCAGTAGAACTGGAGGAAAAGCTAGGGCTCGCCCCAATATCTGGAATAGGAGCACAAGGATTCAAAGGAGGAAGGAACCCAGGGCGAGTGTGGGCAATACGATCCAGAAGTAGGGCCCCGGAGCCTCTTCTCTCCAGACTAGCAGCACCTCGCCTTGGAACAAAACTCTCCAAAGAATCCTTAGTTTCAGACAAAGTAAAATGTCTGCTGTTCAATGGTTTGTGCCTTTCTGATGCACCTCCTCCACCACTTTTGAGAATTTTTTCCCAACTACCAACTTGCAACAACTGTGAGTCGGAACTGTAGTGATCCATCCCAATGCTCCTGCGGTTCACTACATTTTGTAGACTGGAGATATTCAGCTGCCTAAGACAGTCAGATGAATCTTCATCCACTGGACTGGATTCACTGGAAAAATGGAGGCTATCCTGATGCAGGTTTGGGTGTGATAAGGCATGCAAAGAACTTGGAGCACTATCATCTGACATCTTTCTGCCAAGGCCTCTCCGTCTTCTCTCAGCATTCTCATTTCCTGATATGTGGTCCAGAGACTTTGGGAAGAGTGTTCCATCTTTAACATCAGAGGCGTGGTGCCTTGAAATAGCGGTAGGTCTTTGTATGCCAAGAGCCTTTAATCTGATCGATAGCTCCTCTTTGTCAAGAGTATTTTCCACTGGTTCCTCTGTCAAAGAACTGGCTTGATTCTTTGATAGAGAATCAAGCCAATCAAGAGAATCAATCCTTGCTGCTCCTTGTTGGAGCAGCAAGGAGGGACTCTTAGATCGCTGTTCAGTGTATACTTTGTAAGGATAAAGTTGTTTATCCAAGTCAGAAATATGCACAGAACTCAGTGGTTGGGCTGAAGAACCTGGTTGAAACATAATTGTACTGGGACCAAGAAGAGAGCTGCAGGTTTGAAGAGAAGGAGTAGCCAAGGAACCATGTGGAAGAGCTTCAGTCTGGGACTCATATGGAGACCTATGACTACATACTGAAGGAGAAAAAGGTGGGATGTTGAGGTACTGTTTTCTCATCTGATGGTCAGAAGCCATTTTGCTGGTAGTGATAATGATAACCTCCTTCCCCTTTGCTTTACAAGCACCCAGAAGCACGCTAATAATTTTTCTGTTTCCTGAATTCACTGCGTAAACTAATGCTGATAATCCTGCATGATCTTCCAAAGTTGGATCAGCTCCACTGTCCAGCAGAAGGGATAGAACTTCAGGTTCAGTTTGTTCAAGGCATGAATGCATCAAAGCCGTTTTTCCCGTCTTGTCTTGAATGTTTGGATCAGCACCATTTTCTAGAAGATACCTTTGGGGAATAAATGTCACCATATTTGTCAATAAACACTCAAATATTTTAGAAATTAAAATATTGAAGAGTTTCCAGATAACTTACCGAACCATCTTAGGCTTAGGTACACTTTGTGGATTTGTGCGTTGTGTCTTACAAGCTACCATTAGGGGGTCTCTCCATATTCATTACTCTCATTTATATAAGCACCTCCTTCTAAGAGCAACCGAGTCAGACGCAGTCGACTATGGTAGACTGCCTTGAGCAGGGAACTACCATCCATAACCGCTTCAGTTGATTCATTCATTGCAGCAACCCTTTATGCAGAATTGTTTCTTGTTTGGTGAAAGGCACGAACCATTCAGCTCCTACAAAAATGACAAAACAAGAAACAGTCTAATGATTTTTAAAAAATGAACTTTATTTAAAAAGGGACAATGTACAACTAAAACATAAACTTCACCATTTGATAGCGTACAGGGTCGGTGCCAGAAAACTTGGGTCTCATGACAAAAAATGTAATTGGGCAGCTCTGCTGTTACAATTTCTTGAGCAAACAGTTTGTAACTAAGCTAACTGCTAAATGGTTGGATATTCTCACACAGTCGAACCATCTCTCGAAGAAAAACTGCACTGCAAATTGTCACTCTTGTCTCTGTGTGTTACTAACTTATTTTTTCATGTCGTGAATGCTGGGACACCAAGTGGCAGAAACCTGTTCATCAGCCATTCATGGTAGATGTGAGGCTACAGTAACATGTAGCTCAGTATTTGAAAAGAGGCTCAAATGATAGTTGGACATTGAATTCACAAGAGCATTGTGTCTTTGCTCATTGTGTGCTCAACATGTTGGTATTAACATTTTTTACTTCAACATAGGGCAACCTGTTTTTCTTGAGTAAGTAGAAAAACACAAGATACATGGCATTGAACTGAGAAATGACGTATTGTTTCTTGTGTTGACAGACAAGTTAAATCTACAAAATATTTTGTGTTTCTAGATTGAGTCAGCTTTATTCAAGCCCCACATGAGCAATTCATGTTACAGCAAGTATACATAAAAAAAAAAAAAAAATTAAAAAGCAAAAAAAAAAAAAAAAAAAAAAAAAAAAAAAAAAAAAAAAGAAATAAAATGTACCAAAAAAATCTCCCAAAAAGATATAAATTATAAATCAATACATGATTGGAAGAGTACAGCAGTGTATATCATTGTCAATCAACAGTTACTACTAACATCAGTAATATAATATATGGAACAAATGGCAACAGAAGTCAACAAACAGTCAGATATTAGTCCATCTTTTCTACCCCGGATTAAAAAGAGAAATTGTTATAGGAACAAAAGAATGCTTGAAGTTTATTCACTGTAATCTTCTCTGACTTTTAAGATTGTAAGTCCAGGCAGAGAACGAAGCAGAGAGAGTTGATGGATAAAAGATTCCTCCGTTGGAGCTTATTCAGCACCAAACTTTCCCTAAAGCTTGATCATTTTCACAGAAAATTATTATCTATTACTGTAAACAGTTATAGATTCCATGTTTGCTTTTTTAGTTCTTGTCATTATATTTATTTTACATGTAGTTTGAAAAAAAAAAAAAAAATCCCGAACATTTTGTGCTTTAATTGTAACCTAAATGGTTATATTCTAATTAGGTACTGAAAGGACACATTTTAAATACATATATTTTTTATCATTTATTCCTCACATTCCTTTTGTTGTAGTCAGCATAGGCTCCCTCACAGTGGCAGATAGAGCAGCGTGTGGCACATCCAACATTAGAAACATCATCTGACTCGGCTGGTCAGATGAGTCAAAAATCTTTTGACCGTCATACAAAATATGTGTGGTGGAAAACTAAAACTGTCACAGCTATGCACTACTTTGTGCTGATTTATCACATTGTATCACTAGTCCAAATAAAATTCACCAAAGTTTGTGGTTTTGACATAGCAAAATCTAAATAACTTATGGTGGTAGTAACACACAGATACAGAGGCTGGCAAAATGTTCATAACTTATTTTTTCATGTTGTGAATGCTGGGATAGACTACAGCCCACACCTGGCCCTGAACAGGGCAAGCACCTCAGATATTGTATCCATAGTAACATCTGATTACCAAACAAGATGACTGTATTCATTTCAGTATTTCAGTGCTGCAAACTTCATTTACAAAGCTGCAAGAGTGCTACAAAGTGAAGGTTGACACAGCAGAGATCTTGTTTGTACTGTTTAGTTACTGTGAATAGCCCCAGTGATTCTCTAACATTTATGAATGATCCAAATTTCACACATTTCTGCTTTGACAGAACTTTAAGATCCTTGAGAAGCCCTGGAGTTCAAGAACGGTGGCAACAATTCTAAACAACATCTGGTTTCTTTAAGTCCTGAAGAAGTGACATGCAGCATGTAAACAGATCTGATTAATCATTTATAAGAGCACTGCTGCACTGCTCTGATTCCCTTCTGCTTGTTCTGTGATTTTGTTGTGGGATCTTGTGTATATAATGCTTTTAAGCTCCTAGATTTTTTTCACAGATTATCTGTCTCTTCTTATTCTTTCACAACACAGTGATAGTTTTTACAAATATATATATATATATATATATATATATATATATTATATATATATATATATATATATATATATATATATATATATATATATATATATATATATATATATATATATATATTATAAAAGTTACATGCAACTTTAAGGCTCCATTTACATTTTTTAAATTAGTTTTTTTATTGTAATAATCTCATTTTAATGTCATATTTTCATTTGCTGTAGGTGGAAAATCAGTCTAATAGAAATAGAGGTTTTCAAAACATCCATCTGTGTGTAATTTAGAGTGTTTCATTTAGTAATAGTTCTTTAATTAGATGGGATTTTCAATTTAATTTAATTTATTGACTAGATCTGTTCAGACACATGGAAAAGAACTATCTAACCCTATCTATGTAGACAGATAGACTAGAAATTAATAATGAAAAATCAAGCAGAAAAAAGTAACACAGAAATTCTAATTAAATTATTTGATAAAAGTTTAAAAACATTCACAAATTCTAAGCTTGACTTTTTTTGTTTGGTCTCAAATGAAAAAACGCAAAAGTCTAATAAAACATTCTGATTTCGGCATAAGCGCTAAATAAAGAAAATAAAAATAACAATGAAGTGATTTTTAATACTTATTACATGTAATGAGGTGCCACTTTCCATCAAGATTAAGTCAAAACTTTCACAAAGAAAAAGTGAAAAGACAAAACTTATCAGAGAACATGTTTCATTTAGATAAAATAGTAAAAATGTGTACCAATAAAATTTCTGCATGAACTTACCTGAAAGCGTTTCATTCCTTCTCATAAAAATCCTGAAAGTGCCATTTACTCTGGTTGATAGGCCACTGGCAGGCTGCAGGTCAAATGGAGCCTGGAGGGAGAGCAGACAGGCTGACGAGTGAAAAGAGGTACTGAAGATACTGAAGTCTAAAGTACGTCAGATGAGAACAGAAAGCCTAGCCTATGGCATCAAAGAGGCAGGAGGTGCCTAACCAATGACAGCATGTTCTTTTATGAGCACCCAGTATCCAGATGATGGATTCAGTCAAGCACTTGCGCAGGTAGGACTAATTTCTTTTCACCTTCATGCATTCAGTCTGCTGATGTGTGGAATGACAATAGTACCGCCAACGTCAGTGGATGGTTCAAGGTTGCAGGCACATTTATCTTGGTGAAGACTGTACCACAAAAAGCTTCACTCATTACATGGACACAACAATGTTCCCAGAAGTCATTGATATAGAGAGACAGAAAGCCCCTGTGGCTAACACACAGGCTAGGATGTGCTTCAGTGTTGTTAGGCGGCATGTGAGGATCCAAAGTATATTCAAATTTTGGTAACACTTTATTTGAAGGGGTGTGTGCATAAGACTGACATGACACTGACATGAACATGAAGGAGTCTTCATGAATGTTTATGGCTATTGTCATTAAGTGTCATTCATTAAATAATGACTCTTAATGCAAAATTGATGTTGTTTAAAATGTCTTTGTTATGACAACTTGACATTCATGAGACTAATGTTCATGGCAGGTGTAATGTCATATCGCATTCTCACTGAAACCAGGAAGATAGAGACATAACAGCAGTTTTAAAGTCCCTCCACTGGCTCCCTGTAGCTCAAAGAATAGATTTAAAATACTGTTGTTAGTTTATAAATCACTGAACGGTTTAGCACCACAATACATCAAAGATCTGCTGTTGTTGTATCAACCTTCCAGACTCTCAGGTTCTGGTTCTGGTTCTGCTCTGCATCCCCAGAACCAGAACCAAGAGAGGAGAAGCAGCTTTCAGCATCTATGCACCAAAAATTTGGAACAAACTTCCAGAAAACTGTAAAACAGCAGAAACCCTGACTTCCTTTAAATCTCAACTAAAAACACACCTGATTAGAGTTTGATTTGAAAGTAATCAATTAAAAATGTAATGATGTAACAATGTATTGTTTATTCTATGTTGCATGACTTTGTATTTTTGTGTTTATGATGTAAAACACTTTGAAATGCCTTGCTGCTGAAATGTGCTATACAAATAACATTTGATTGATTGATTGATTGATTGATTGATTGATTGATTGATTGATTGATTGATTGATTGATTGATTGATTGATTGATTGATTGATTGATTGATTGATATTTGACAGTGCCACATTTGTCATAATAATGTACCAACTCCAGATAAGCCGTGTCTCCACAAGTTTATAGACAGGATGGATGAGATGTGAGCATCACTTCCTCTGCTTCTCTTCTGACCCTTGTGAATCCACGGACATGAACATAGTCGGCTCATTGATCGGGTCGGCCCGTTAGCAATACATCACAGGTTCCACCTTACTGACTGTGGCATGTTTTTCACTGAGCTAATACAAGTAAATGGACTGAACTTCTTAAGGTGCTGTTCTACAAGTTAATACCCGTCACTGATACATTCTCTCTCACACCGATATATTTGCGAATCAAAGAAAGCACTAAATACAACGTTTCTAACTTTTTGATGCAATTAATTGTTTTGGAAGCTTTCTGGATAAAGAGCACAAAGTTTATATTTGATACAACATATTCTGACCAATCGCTTTTATATTGGCATTGATGAACAGACGCACACTTTACAGAGGTGTGTTCATGAACACATTTTCACAATTCCATAATTTAATGTTCATTTGTCATTTCAAATATAAGAAAAAAAATTTTCTTTTAATTTTTAGGTATTTTATTATAAAAACATTAAACTTTGATTAATCA